ATAAATACATAAAGAATTTCTGGGAGATAATTTACTGCTAAAAGTCCTACTAATTAACCTATAGCTTAGAGGTAATAAGTGTTGGATTCATGCCTTTCTCAAGGGTATTTGCACATAAGTGAATATAACAAACCCAACTGGAATTGGAACTCAGCTTTCCGATTTCCAATTCTGAGCCATTATCTATTATACCACTTGCATATCCAAGCTTACAGCACCTGGTATTCTCAAGTGGTCACCCATCCAGGTACTGACTGAGCTCAATGTTGCTTAACTTCGGTGATCATACTCTTAAGAATAGTTTATTAACTCGCACAAATATAACATTAGTGCTCCTTATCATCGACACAATGTTTTTCATTTTTGCTATTCTGAGGCTGCCATCACTGTATGCATCCTTACAATTTGCCATTTTCCAAAGCCCCCTCTTTGATTCTGGCCGCTTTCACCTCATTTTAACTAACCCCCACTGCTTCCCTAAGCTGATACCTTTTGATAAATTTCATTATTAGCATGCCCACTACCGTTTGCAAAATGCTTGGTAGCACCCATGAGATGAGGCGCATTGTCACCAGGAACGTTTTAGAAGCAGCACTGAATGTGTTGACACAATCTCAAGAGAGGTTTTTTCTTTTTTTTAACACTTAAAAAACATTTATGGGGAGAGAGTTGCAAGGCTGCAGATCTTGTCCCATCTACTTGGAAGTTGGCTTTGATGGGGGAACAGGCTTTTTTTACTTTTTATTTATGCCTTGCATTAGGGCTTTTCTTAACATAATTAGGGTTTTGTCAGTTTAAGATGAAAAAGAGTGAGGGTAGGAAATAGGAAAAGAGAGGAATGCAAAGGGTAAGGATTGGTGAGAGAGAGGAGAGTAAAAGAAAAGGAAAAAAAAAGAATAGGGTATAAAGAAACAAGGGGAAAAAAAACAAAGAAAAGGAGAAAGACAACAAAGAAAAATGATAAAGGAGAGAGAGAGGGGAGGAATAGTGTGGAGAATGGACAGAGAGACAGACAGGAATAGTGTGGGAAGAACATGGAAGAAATGGAAAGACTCGAGAGAGAAATGGAATGGAATAGACAAAGAGAGAGAGAGAGAGGGAATGGAATGGACAGCGAGAAAGAAAGGAATGAATGGATAGAAAGAGGAATGTAATGGATAGAGAGAGCAGTGGAATAGATAGAGAGAGGAGGAATGAATATATATATAGAGAGAGTGGGTGGAATGGATAGAGAGAGATGTGGGGAATGGAATGAACATAGAGAGAGTGAAATGAAATGGAGAGAGTGAGAAGATTGGAATGGAGAGAGAAGAATCAAACGCAAAGAGGGAGAAAGAGAGAGGGGAGAAATGGATTGGATAGAGAGAGATGTGAGGGTGGATTGAACAGAGAGAGAAGGGGGAATGGATTGGACAGAGAAGGAGGAATCAAATGCAAAGAGAGAGAGAGAGGAATGGAATAGAATGGATTGGACAGAGGAGAATGGATTGGATGAGAGAAGAGAGGAGAAAGAGAGAATGGATTGGAAAAGAAGAGAGAGGAATGAAAGAGAAGAGAGAATGGATTGCAAAGAGAGAGGAATGGATTGGACAGAGAGAATGGATTGGACAGAGAGAGAGGAATGGATTGACACAGAGAGAGAGGAGAGAGAGATTGAGACAGAGAGAGACAGAGAGAGAAATGGATTGGACAGAGAGAAGGAATTTGACAGAGAGAGAGGAATGGATTGGACAGTGAGAGAGGAATGGATTGGACAGTGAGAGAGGAATGGATTGGACAGTGAGAGAGGAATGGATTGGACAGAGAGAGAGAGGAATGAATTGCACAGTGAGAGAGGAATGGATTGGACAGTGAGAGAGGAATGGATTGGACAGAGAGAGAGGAATGGATTGGACAGAGAGAGAATTTTGGACAGAGAGAAGAGAGAGAGAGGAAATGAATTGCAGAGTGAGAGAATGGATTGGATTGGACAGAGAGAGAGAGAATGGATTGGACAGATTTAGAGAGAGGAATGAATTGCACAGTGAGAGAGGAATGGATTGGACAGACAGAGAGAGGAATGGAATGGACAATGAGAGAGAATGGATTGGACAGAGAGAGGAATGAATTGATTGGAGAGAGTGGATTGGACAGAGAGAGAGAGGAATGAATTTACAGTGAGAGAGAATGAGACAGAGAGAAGATCACAGGAGAGAATTGGACAGTGAGAGAGAAAGGAATAATTTTAAACAGAGAGAGAGGAAGATAATATAGAGAAAGAGAAACTTATAAAAGTTAAAAAAATAGATAGAGAGAAATGAGTAAAAATGTGAGAGAGAGAGAGGGAGAAAAAATGATTAAGAAGAAAAGATATGAAATTGTGGCACAAATAAAATGCTTGGATTTCAAGAGTTTGGTGGATTAGCGACGGTGCAAGCAGAATTAAAAGATAGCAGCAAGATGAACATATGAAGGAAACTAAAATGGTATTTCATAATAAAACCTACTTTTTCCGCAGCTGGATGCCTCGCCTCAAAAACAGGCATGCTGAATATTCTAAATAGAACCAAACGTTATTGACAATTTGCATGTAGTCATCTTGAATTGTCCTTTTCTGTTCCTTTTTTTGGGGGGTGGCAAGAGGTATCTGTGTAGTGGCGGACTGGGTTTAAAAATATTGGTTGCCAGGTGACAAAGGGGTCACCACAACTACAATGGTATCATTTAATTTTCCTAATAAACGAATAAAATTTTCAGAAAAGACATATAGAAAAAAAAAGCCACAATTAAAATTCTTGTGGAAAGACGTGTATTTCTTAGTAATTACAGTGTAAGTGTATTGCACATATATTACTGGCAGTTAAATATTAAATAGAGGGTCTCTCTAACGTCTAGGCACAGTAAATCTCATTAAATTTTTTTTTTTTTTTTATCTGCACAGATTAAACATGGTTTTGTCGAAAGAAGAAATAATTGACTTTTTTTTTCTGGGGTTTGCTAAAGGAGAAGGTGTACTCAATGAAAATCACAGATGCTACACACTTGATTGAATGCATAAAGAGTGAATGTGCTAAAATTGACAGCAATGTGGAGTTATTACATCAGGTGCATTTGAATCATGCAAAGCAGTTCAACTTTTGCATCACAAATGATGGGAATCATATTGAAGATGTTATTTGTTAATATTTCAATTCAATAAAATATTGTTGAAAATTTAATTTCTTGAAAATATCCATTTTTGCCTGTGAATCCAGACTTTAGGGACTTCCTGTAGAATTTTATAATTCAATTTATTTTTTTTTAATTTTAAGTAATTGGTTAATATTTTTAAATAGTTTCACAATAGAGCATAGCATGCATTCCATTATATTACAAGCAAACGTTTGTGTCCGCTAGAGGATTGGTGAATTTGCCAATGATTGCATCAGCACTGAATTCATCTAACAATTCCTTTTCAATGGATAGCAACATGAATGATTTCAAATTCTCCTGTGACAGCAAACTTCTTGACCTTGTCTTTATGATCTTTAGCTTTGAAAATGTCCTCTCACATTGGACCTGAGTAACTGACAGATTGCATCTGACTTTATAAAGTTCTTATTTCTTTCTATTACTAAAACAGTTGTGTTTGTTTCTTTATTACATTTTTTATCTGATATAGTGGGGGGGGGACTCCATCAAGGGCCGACTTGTCATTGGGCAAGCTGACACCCTGTCCAGTTCACCAGTGTGTGTGTGTGTGTGTCTTAGCTCAGCACAAACAAATATTTCCCTTTTGTGACATTTGATGGCTGACTCATACAGTGCTGCACACAGGATTTTTTTGTTTGTTTTTTTTTTTCGACCCCAAAAAGATGGATTTGAAAGGTAGCCAAGGAAATTAACCTGATCTTACATCCCTCCACTCCCAAGAATCCTGAAGTGTGGAACCGACCTCTTGGACTCATTCAAAGAAGAGAAGCATTCTTGACGGCAGTTGACGTATTGATTGGCAAAACTTTGGCAGAATTAAATGTGAAAAACAATGTTTAGAAATTATCCTTGGTTTTGAAAAAAAGTTGGATTAATGAAGGATTCTGGTTAAAAAATTAATTTGAAATGTTAATGATGTGTGAACTTGGAGTTACTTGAAAAAAGAAATTGGCTTTATGAGATAGCTTTAAGATACAAAAGCAGCAAGATAAATTAATGCTTCACAAATATTTGGGAGGTTCTTCTATGCCCATTGTTGGCTCTCGAATGGTTACTTAGCTTCATATGAAAGAAGCATGCTTTATCATATTAATAGCAGGAGAAGGTCTTTCAACCAGTCTAAGCCCTAACCTTATATAGCTACTTCTTATCTTCATCACCTGTTTTTTGCAGCAAGATTTGTTGACAGATAGAAACAGTCTGAGATGGACCGAGATGGACAGGCGTGGAAACGAACCCAGGCGTGAAATAGACCAAGATGGACAGGCGTGGAAACGGACCGAGATGGACAGGCGTGGAAACGAACCGAGATGGACAGGCGTGGAAACAGACCGAGATGGACAGGCGTGGAAACGGACCGAGATGGACAGGCGTGGAAACGGACCGAGATGGACAGGCGTGGAAACGAACCGAGATGGACAGGCGTGGAAAAAACCGATGGACAGGCGTGAAACGGACCGAGATGGACAGGCGGGAAACTTTTCATGGACAGGCGGAGACTGACCGAGATGGACAGGCGTGGAAACGGACCGGCATGGATGGACAGGCGGAAAACGGACCGAAACGAACCATGATGGACAGGCGTGAAAACGGACCGATATGGACAGGAAACAGACCAAGATGGACAGGCGGAAATTATTTCCGAGATGGACAGGCGTGAAACGGGACCGAGATGGACAGGGAAAACAAAACAGACAGGCGACCGAGATGGAAACGAACTGACCGATGGACAGGCGGACCGAGAAAGGCGTGGAACCCGAGATGGACAGGCGTACTGACCGAGATGGACAGGGGGAAACGGACTGAGACCGAGATGGACACAGAAACATGGACAGGCAAAAAACTGAGATGGACAGGCAAACACACATACAGAAACATGCCATGATAGGCAGACATGAACACAGAAGGAAACAAATGAAGTTTGTCAAAAACAAACCAAGACAGATAGAAACAGACCGTAGTAGATTCTAGGATTATTCACAGATATGTGTACAAATATTCGAATAGATTGAAACAGTTGCAGCCAAAAGGAGAATAGTAAATAAATATGAAAGGACTAGGTAAGATGAGGGAGAAAGAATGTATTCTACAAGAAAAGATAAAAAAAGGTCCAGGAAGAAAAGATGAATACATAGGTAGACAAAAAGAGGGGAAGGAAATAGCAGAGAAAGAGAGAAAGAAACAGAAAAAAATGTCTCCAATCCAATCACAACAATAAAACATATATATATATATATATATATATATATATATAAATAAAATAAAATCAGTTGAGATGAAAGGAAGAGTACGTAAGGAATAATTCTGCTCATCTGACTCAGTCCATTTCAAATGGACAGAAAATAGGGCAGGAGAAAGAGTGAGCAGGAATAATACCATTACATATGAAGAGCCTTCTTTACTTTCTAACACAGAAGAGTACTGGCCATTATTTTCTTAGGAGGATGCCCTGGGGTAGGGACAGAAGCAAAACTTTATATGTACAGTTTTTTATTTAGCCTTTTATGCTTTTGCAGTTGGGTGGTATATGGGAGATGTGATTTTTAGTTTACCCCCCCCCCCTGACTCTTTTTCTCTACTATTTTTTTTTTATATATTTCCGGCTTTCTTCTACCATCACCCAAAACTGGACTGAAGCAGAGAATTATGTAAGACAAGTGTTAAAGCAAAAACAAAAAAAAAACCAAAATCAAAAACTATCAGCCCATAAAAAAAAAAGACATCCTTAAACACAAGTAGATGACTCATATATATCTACATCTATATATATGTCTCATTCATCTTATTATATATATATATATATATATATATATATATATATATATATATATATATATATAAATGAAACTATAAAATATAAAATTTAATTTATGCTATATATATATATATATATATGGATTATACTAAAGTGCTCAATATCAGAGCATGTATATGGTGTGTGTGTGTATATATATATATATATATATATATATATATATACATGTTGTATGCAAATAGAAAAGTGGACATTCATGCTTAAAAGCAATCCTCAGGCCATGGCCACACACCCACTACAAACACACCCATATATATATATATATATATATGTGTGTGTGTGTGTGTGTGTCTACAGGGGGATGTATAATAGTATCCCAAATAAGAATGAACACACACACACACATATATATATATATATATATATATATATATCTGATGTGTTTTTGTGTCTGTAAGATACATAATAATATCTGAAAAAATAAAAATGTGAAGATGATGAGACAATGTAGAAAATTTATATATCATGCATTTTGCTGAAAGTTTTTGCACTCTCTGGCTTCCTCAGGTTAGAATGAAAGAAAGACAAATCTGTATATGAGGAAAAAGGCATTGGGAACACACACATGCATATATATATATATATATATATATACAAATGAGAGAGAGAACAGATGGAGTAAAAATCCACTGTTTGTAGCATTTACTTTTAAAAAAGTCGTCAATACAAAGTAGAGCTATGTATTATTATTATTATATTTTTATTCTAAGAGGTTATAATAAAAACATGTTGAAATGTTTAAATTGTGTAGCGATTTCAAAATAAAATTGACAAAGATTATTGTTTAAGGTTGACGGACATGCATGTCTTAATTAGTTTTTTTTTTGTTGTTTTTTTTTTTTTTACGAATTGGTCAAACCCAAACTCAAACAAAAACATTATTTTCAATTGTTAACTGTGTACAATGATGGCCTTTTGTACATACTTATTATAAAACTCAGGTTGTGTGTGTGTGTACGTTTATATATATTGGATTGGATTACCTAAATTTTTCAACCGATTTCAAAAAAACTTCACAGGACTACGTAAAATTACCTTGCGGTGGTTCTGACAGCGCCAAAAATTGGAAAAACACAATTGTTTTTGCACAAAATCAATTTGAAAACATGATTAAGAGTCATCGCTGACACGAGAATGAAAGGGGGACAACTCATATCGAGTTATACTTATTATAAAACCCAGGTTTGTGTGTGTGTGTGTGTGTGTGTGTTCATTTATATATGGGATCAGATTTCCTACATTTTTCTACCGATTTCAACAAAACTTCACTTTTTTTTTTGGCAGGTAGTGTTTCTTATTGTCTTGCACACTTTTTTTCTTTATATTTTTTACATTCAGAATGCTTTAAAAATTCCATTTACAAGACAATTGTTTATAATAAAATTTTATTCAATCGGTAGACTCATAACGATTGAAAACAATGTTTTTGAGTTTTTTGAGTTTTACCAATTAAAAAAAAAAAAAAAAAATAAAACAAAAAAAAAACTAATTAAGACATGCATGTCCGTCAACCATAAACAATAATCTTCGTCAATTTTATTTTTCAATCTTTATGATGGTCGATACTTGATCTATCTCTTACTGTTACATCCCTGGCTCTACTGCTAGTATGGCAATAAAGATGAGGATTACAGTCTGAATAATGTAAATAATGTAAGTAATGAAAATTAATAGAGATTTTTAAAAGATTACAAACTTTATAAATTATTGTAATTAAAATTTTTGAAAGAGTCACAGGTCAAAAACTCGCCTGTAAGACTGTATATATCATTATACTTAATGACCGGCTCCTCATGTTTTCAAGCACACCTATTATCTAGAATGGCCAACCAATCCCTGTTGCAGATGCCTGCTCAAAATCAAGATTTCACCTGTGGTTGATACTGTAACTATACTGATCAGACATTAGTTACAGTTTCTGGAAGAAAGGACTTAATCTGGCATGATCAGCGGTTTGAACAAAGCCAGCAGTTGTGACTTCATGCCAACACAACCAAAAAATAGCTTCTGAAGAGTTCCATCTACCGAGATTTTGGTTACAAGGCATGGTTTGGTTTTCAGGTGCATTCCAAAGTAACTGCAAGCTGGGATAACATTAAGATTCAAATCTGGCTCTGAAGCTCAGAAAACGAATTTACTTACCAGTCAACCAGCCATATATATATATATATATATATATATATAAAAATAAAGAAAATATAGTCTTAAGGTATGCTATATTTATGGAATAAAGTGCTTAATATCAGAGATAGAGCAATGTAAATATAAAAAATTGAACATAAATTTAACACTTAGGAAAAAACAGTCTGTTTCATGCTATATGCAATCGTGGCCTGAAAATTGCATTTAGCATGAAACAAACCAATGAGAAAAATTTGATATATATATATATATATATATATATAATATATAAATATGAAGATATGAAACAATAGTAACAGACAGATCAGGGATATTATTTATATTTCCTAAATTATCTTTTTTATGAAAAGAAAATATATATTTGCCCAGCTTTTCAAGAAAATATATATATTTTAGGAAAATCTATGACAAAGTGGAAAATTTTTATTGTTTTGATGCATTTTGTCCCTATAGGACTTTAGCAGACTAAAATGATGTTTATATTGATGTTACTATATATGAGCATCAATGAGAAAAAAGGAATGTAAAGTTTAAATTTAAAATGTTTTTGTTCTGTTTTTAAATGTATGTCTTGCCAAGATTTTCTAAATTTTTCATGATATATATATTGATAATTTATATACATTAATATATACATGTGTGTGTATATATATATATATTTTTGTGTATTTGCATAAATTCATATATATATATATATATAAATTGAAAAAAAAGTAGATTAATTAATGCATATCCTGGCATGTAATAATTATCTAAATTTTGATCTGACAAAGAAAAAAAAAATTTTTTTTTACAAGAAATGCTTTTTTTTCATCCCTAGGCAGTAGACTTATTGATACATACGCATTTGAGAGAGAGAAAGAGAGGGAGACATGAAGACTGAGAGAGACACAAACAGCTTTAATCATATTCCTTCAGTCACCCAAATTTCAAATCAATAAAAGTAAATATTAAGAAACACTGTGTGTGTGTGTGTGCAAATAATTAAATATATATATATATATATATATATATATATATATAAATAAATGGAATAAATTTAAATTAAAAAGGCTAAAAAAAAAAAAAAAAAAAAATGAGTGTAGATGATTCTTTTTACTGACATTCTGATTATCCTTGTCCTCAATTCTTTCACCCTGCATTCAAATCTTTGATTTTTGTGAGAAAAAAATAAGAAAAGAATAACAATAGAATGAAGGTAAAAAAAAAAAAAAAAAAAAAAAAAAAAATGAATTTCTTCATTCCTCCACCCCACCATTATATAAAAAATACCCTACCTTCCATTCAAAATGCAAAAGAGTAAGATATGCTGAATGAGCAATCAGTCGAATCAGAGTTATGGGTTGGAAGAAGAGAGAAGAAAAAAAAAAAAAAAAAAAAAAAAAAAAAAAAAAAAAAAAAAAAAAAAAGAAAGAAAAAAAAAAGAAAGAAATTGAGAAGAAAATAAGCATACCCTTTATTATTCATTTTTCGTTTTTGCTTCTTTAGCCGAAAAGGCTGTCGGAAGATTTGGCTAAGGAGAAGGTAAATGCTTTTTCTTTCCGAATCTGCTCGTCGCTCTCTTTCAAGCATTAACCCCTCATTAGGCAGATGAGAATTTACAGAAGGAGAAGATAAGTCAATATTAGAATGTATGAAAAGTAGTTCTTCATTTCTTACAGACCTTTACTCTATAAAGCTTATTTCATATACACATGCTATCATGGACACTTCCTCCATCATTATCATGTATGGAGCTGTATTTGATTCATTTTCATTTTTATATGCCTTTTAAAACATACTTCATATTCACAAGATCTCTAGCACTTCCTCTACTATATATATATATATATATATATATATATAAATTTAATGAAAAACAGACACTTTAAG